GCTGCTTGGCCTGCTGTGTTCATCCAGCCCTGCACCTTGTTGTCTCCAATTTTAAGGTTTATAGTCTTTGGAAAGGGTTTTTTTTCTTTATTCATTCACGGGATTAGGGTGTCGCACACTAGGCAGCATTTATTGCCCATAGGTCAGTTTAGAGTCAATCACCTTGCTGTGGGTCAGGAGTTACGTGCAGGCCAGACCAGGTAAGGATGGCAGTTTCCTTCCCTAAAGGACATGAGTGAACCAGATGGGTTTCCCCCCAACAATTGACAATGGATTCATGGTCATCATTAGATTCTTAATTCCAGATATTTTATTGAAGTCAAATTCCACCATCTGCCATGGTGAGATTTGAACCCAGGTCCCCAGAATGTTGTCTGGGTCTCTGGATTAACTGTCCAGCGATAATACCAGTAGACCATTGCCTCCCCATGGAATGTTCTTCATAGAATCACCAAAGTGCAGACATTTGGTCCACTGATCCTCCAAAGAGTGTCCCACCCAGACCTCTTCCACCACCCCCCCCCCTCAACTGTATCCCCTGCATTTACCGTGGCCAACCCACACATCCCTGGACACTACAGGAAAAGTTAGGTACCTGACCTGTACATCTTTGGACCCACGCAGACATGGGGAGAATGTGCAAACTCCGCTCAGCCAGTCACCCAAAAGTGGGACTGAACCCAGGTCCCTGCTGCTGTGAGGCAGCAATGCTAACCACGAGCCATTGAGTTGCCTCTTATTGAGCTCTGATTGGGAGCCAATTCAGCAGGGAATCAGATTACAGACTCATACCAAGTCCAGCTCATCCATCACCCCTGTGCTCACTGACAACAGTAGTGGAAGAGCACAGAGATTTCGAAGAGTATATTTTAGGTGTAAAGGTGATTTCAAAGGTAGAGTGTGGAAAAGGGCCTCAGTGGGATTGGATCCAAATGAGGCATTGTGTTGCTGCATGGCAGTGACATGTTGAAGTAAAGCTACATCATAAAAACTGGGGAATGACTTTGATCCTGATACGACGGTTCTGGTAACAATTCTCTGAAAAATATGTCTTTTGCAGATTTTAGTCAGAATTTCTCATAAAAATGACACAGTAGCTTCTAAATTAGATCACATTTCCCGTCGATTCGCACTCTGCTAGAAACCTCAATAAGGGAAAGAGGGAAGGCAGGAAAGCAGTCAGTGGAGAAAGATGTCAAATTCACGGTTCCATATTTGTCTTTACTGTCAACACATGCCTGGCTTAGGCAAAAGGCACTTTGCTCAAATGTTTCACAGGGTCTGTAGGAGTAGGCTCAGTGCTGAGCTTGGGGACCAGTCGGTCTCCAACGCTGCATCAGAGTCAACAATAATAGAATGGGTGGAATCTTCCCAGCCCCTGAATGACTTGAGCCATGGTGTGAAAGTTGGGAAGACCAGGTGAGATGGCCAGGGAGCAGCTTCTCAATGCCAAGATCAAAACCTCCCATTTTCCAAAAGCGAGACAGATTCTTTGGCGGGTGCCCCTGCAATCCTACAACCTTGGCGTCAGCTTCCTCAGACAAACCTGCCTGCTGCCCCTGTGTCTTGCTTGCTCACATCAATAAAGTCTTGAATTTCAAGTCCATGTGGGTTCTCCCCTGCCTGAGGCTGAGCTGGTTCCTGGTCTCTGGCAATCCTCTAGGCCAGGGACCTAGAATGTTTCTCTCTTTGCCAACTGCAGAGAGGTGGCAGTGAAGTGCTCACCAGCGTGTGCACTCATAGAGACGTCAAAAATGGGAACAGGAGCCACTTTGCTATTTAATATGATGACGGCTGACCATCCAACTCAGTCCCCATACCCTTTGATCCCTTTATGCCTAAGAACCATATCTAACTCCTTGAAAGCATTCAATGTTTTGATCTCAACCACTTTGTGTGACAGAGAATTCCACAGGCTCCCCATTCTCTGGGTGAAGACATTTCTCCTCAACACAGTCCTGAATGACCTACCCCATATCCGCAGACCGTGACCCCACCCCGGTTCTGGATGCCCCAGGTCATCAGGAACAACCTTCCTGTGTCTAGTCCTGTTAGACTTTTATAGGATTCTATGACACTCCCCCCTAAACTCCAGTGAATATAGCCCTAACCGTTCAGTCCTGCCATTCCAGGAATCAGCCTCACGATTCTAATGTTGCTAACATTCTCACAAGGGGTCAATATCTGAGCTGTTCGAAGGTATCTCACCAGTGTAACCTCTGAGGATTCTGTGCTCTTGCCGTCAGAGATGAAGGAGGTGATGCCTTGCAGGGATGCCCTCTTGGCTGTGGAGACAGAAAGTGCCGCGATTGGTGGTAGAAGACTAGGCATTGTTAAGACTAAATTCAGAGTGGGGTGATGTGCAATTAGACTGTAATAGACAATGCTTCTTAACTGGTTGCTGCGACATTTTCTAAAATTCATTCACAGGATGTGGGCATCACTGACTTGGCCAACATTTATTGCCCTGAGGGCAGTTTTGAGTCAACCACATTGCTGAGAGTCTGGAGTCACACCAGGTAAATTTAGCAGTATCCTTCCCCAAAGGACATTAATAAACAGGTTTGGTTTTCCCTGACAATTGACAGCGCTTTTATGAGCACCATTAGACTTTTCATTCCAAATTTCTATTGAATTCAAATTCCACTATCTGGACATAGTGGGATTTGAACCTATGTCCCCAGAGTCTCAACATTACAAGTCCACTGATAGTACCACTTGGCCATCAACTTCCCAAGCACGCAGTTGGTTTCATCACAGGACCGGTCCCGATCCTCGCTAGCAAGGGCAAAGACGCTCGCTCCATAGGGGTGAAGAGCTGAATATTGGGCATCCTACATTTACGCTGACTCATTTGCCCCACTATAGGCTGTGTCAACACCTCACTGACTCGAGTAATGAGCTCAGGACCAGGCTGGCAGAGTCAGGTGACACAGCCTTCTCTGCCGGTCCCAGGGACATAGGCAGCCCTTGTCCACAAAGCAGTCGCCAATTTCCCCTTGTCAACCCCACCTAGGGCAAAGGTCACAAAACATGTTCTAGACAACCACAGCTCAACTGGGTGCACGGTGGCCTTTTAAACATGGTGGAAGACCGACTCCACTAAACAGGGTCCTGAGGACCATGAGCGAATGTAGGATGAACTTGTCCACTCCTGTGTCCAGGATTGCCCTCCATCTGCTGTGTAACCTCGGAGAGTTCCTTGTGTGTCCTGTAGGTGGTCCATATAACACCCACTGTGTACCAGTGACGGAGGGAGTGGATATTGAGTCTAGTGGATATATAGGCTATCCAATGCTAAATGCTGATATTTCTCTCCCCAGCTGGACTGGCGCAAGAGTGGAAAATCCACACTCCGGGTAAGGTGACAACTCAGGAAGGTTCCTGTGCTCAGATTCCATGTAATTATAGTTGTTCTTCACATCTGACAAACCAGCCGCGAGTCGGAGTTTGGCATTATCAAACAGGAGTTAAAAGATGGTCAGTAGCCTTTCACTCTGAGGGTCTTAGTAATGAGTCGCCACAGTTCCGCAATCGGACCCGGCTGTCTGGAGACCTGCAAGATGGAGACTGTTCCCTGATTATAAACAACATCACACGGGAAGATGCAGGACGTTATTATTTCAAAATAACATTTGTCAACAAAAAAAAATATAAATCCAAACCTACAACCCAGCTTCAAGTTTCTGGTAAGTGCTGTGTAATAATTACTCAAATTCACATCGTACACTCAAGGGGAAATAAAACTAACTGAGACATTTCCAAATTAACACAAAACACAGCTTGTTATAACTCAGTGTCTGATTCTAAATAACCTGGTGATAGCTTCCAAAACCGTCCTAAGCGACATCCAAAACCGTCCTAAGCGACATCCAACACTCCCGTTAATATCAATAACTTGATGTATTGACTACGATGTCAGGTTATCCACTCCTACCCATCTCTTTAATTCTGATTAAAAGGCTGACATACGACAAAAAAAGGTTTTGTATTTTCATAGTGCCTTTCGTTACCTCAAGACATCCCACAAAGCATCGAAACAACTGCAGGCATCCTTGAAATGTAGAATCTCCCCACTCTCTGATTAAAGAATTTTCTCCTCAATTCCTGATTAGATTTATTAGTGATGATCTTATATTCACAGCCCCTAGTTCCGGTCTTCCACTCCCACAAGAGGAAATGTTCTCCCTGTATTTCTTTTTAATATATTTACAGGACATTGCTGGCTGGGCCAGCACCCATTGCCCAGAGGAGAGTTAAGAGTCAACCACATTGCTGTGGGTCTGGAGCCACATGTAGGCCAGACCAGGTAAGGACATGCAGTTTCCTTTCCTGAAGGACATTAGTGAACAGATGGGTTTTTCCTGACAATCAACAACAGATTCATGGTCATCATAAGACTCTTAATTCCAGATTTTTTTAAAAATCAGATTCAGATTGCACCATCTGCCATGGCGGGATTCAAACCCAGGTCCCCAGAACATTACCTGAGTTTCGAGATTAACAGTCCAGTGATAATACCACTAGGCTGTTGCCTCTCCAATCAAAATCTCTTTGAAATTAAAACGTCTCCATCAGGTCAACCTCAACCATGTCTTCTAAGAGAAAATGGACCAGCCTTTCCTCCACTCCTGATAGGTTCACTCCTGCACTTTTGGGATCATCGTCACTAATTATTTTCATACTCTTGCCAGTACCTCCATATCCTTTTTGTAATATGGAGACCAGCATCGCACCCAGTATCCCAGATGTCGTCTGACCAAGGTTCACAGCAAGTTTCACAATGCTTCCTGACGTTTTCATTTTATCCCTCGATATGGAATCACTAATGTCTAGTTTATTTGTTTGTTTTTGTGACCAATGCCATTTCCATAAGGAGTGCTATGTGTGTATCAGCAAAATCAGAATGGTCCTTTCAAACATGCATCCAACAGCAAAGTGCTAGGATTGTAAACACATGTAAATAAGGTCAACAGGGCCAGAGTAATGAAACTACTTTTGGAATGGTCATAATTCTATTAGACATGGGAGCAAAAGTAGGCCATTCAGCCTATTGAGTCATTCAATGAGATCATGGTTGATCTGATAATCCTCAACTCCACTTTCCTATGTTTTCGCCATAACCCTTGATTCCTTTACTGATTAAAAATCCGACTATCTCAGCCTTGAATGTACTTGATCCAGCCTCAACAGCCCTCTGGTAAAGAGGATTGACAGAGCAGATGTTATCCCCTGCATGCCAGTCTAGAATAAGAGGTAATTATATTAGACTGAGGCGTGGCAGATTTGAAACTGAGACAAGGAGAAATTATTACTCTCAAAGGGTCGTGAATCTATGGAAATCACTACCCCAGAGTATGGTGTCCATTGGGACACTGAATATATTTAAGAAGGAGATAGACAGATAGTAATGGACTAAAAGGTTATGGAGAGCGGGGGTGGGTCGGAAGTGGAGTTGAGGCAAAGATGAGATTAGTCATGATTAGATTAAATGGCAGAGCAGGCTTGAGGGGCTGAATGACCTATTTCTGCTCCTTGTTATTATGTTTTAAAGAATTCCACAGTTTTACTATGCTCTTTGAGAAGAAATTCTGCCCCATTTCCTGTTCTCTGTTTTGTGAAAAGCTGTAACCTCACTATAAAAGCTGATGTGAAGAAGTTATCTATTAACTCAAATCCACCAGCTGCCAGTATCTCTCACAAGATAATCAAGTCCCATTTCTCCAAAGGTTACATGACCTGTGTAACCTACAATTGATTACTACCCAGCTCCATTTTAACTTTCGAACGCTGTAAGCGAGCATTGCACAACTCATCAACCATACATGTCCCAGCCCATGGGGAGGAGAGGAGTTATTCACAAAACAATATGACCAAAGCAAGCCTCTATCAAGGGACAAGGAACAAGGGAAGTGGGATATGCTGAATAATCATAAAGTATAATCATATAGAGACCTAAAGATGGAAGTAAGCACACTGGAACCCAAAGGTCCTTTTAGTCAAGGGTGGAGAACTGCTAAATATACCATTTAATAAAGTAATCAGGATATCATGGGACTAGTATCTTGACCAACTGGGTCAGTGGTGTGAGGAATGGCCGATAGACTTTAATTTAGATAAATGCAAGCTGTTGCGTTTTGGTGGGTCAAACCAGGGCAGGAATACACAGTAAATGCTAGGGTCCTGGGGAGTATTCCAGAACATATAGATCTAGGAGTACAGGTTCATAGCTCCTTGAAAACGGAGTCAATGGTAGACAGGGTGGTGAAGAAGGCTTTCAGCATGTTAGCTTTCATCTGTTAGAGCATTGAGTATCGGAGTTGGGATGTCTTGTTGCAGCTGTACAAGATGTTGGTGAGGCCACATTTGGAGTACTGTGTGCAGTTCTGATTGCTATACTATAGAAAGGATATTATTAAACTAGAAAGAGTGCAGAAAAGATTTACTGTGATGTTACCTAGACTAAACGGTTTGAGTTATAAGGAGAGGCTAGATAGGCTGGAACTTTTTTCTCTGGACCAAAGGAGACTGAGGGTGGGGTGATCTTATAGATAAAATCATGAAAGGCATTGATAATATAGTGGAGAGCTTTGTCAAATGGTCTGGGAATCAAAAACTAGAGGGTATAAGGTGAAAGGGGAGAGATACAAAACATATAGTTGGGCAACTTCTTCACACACAGGGTGGTGAGTCGAATGTGAGGCCAGAGGTGGTGGCAGAAGTGAGTACATTTCGTCATTTAAAAAACATTTCGACAGGTACATGGATGGGATAGGTATGGAGGGGTGTGGACCAAATGCAGGCAAATGGGACTAGATTAATTGTGAAAACTGGGTGGCATGGACAAGTTGGACCAAAGGACCTGTTTCCATGCTGTAGGCCTCTATGACTGTGTGGATGCTTGGAGAACTGAAAGACCGTGGATTGAGGTGATTTCAAGTTATTTTCCTGAGAGACAGAATACAAAAGAGTTGGTAATTGTGGTCAGAACTGTGAGGTAAAACCGTCAAAGACAAGCAGATTTTGAAGGATTGTGGGGGAAATGTGTTGCACGTGCACGAGTGGTCGACCAACCAATCACTGAAAATTGGACAATGGGGTTGACCCATCGAGGTCTGATCACACAGTCCATGTACACAGGAGGGGGGTTACGAGAAAATGCTCTAAGGTCATGGTTAACTTGCTCAGGTAGTGTGATCAGGTACTTGGAGAACATCCACTCTCAGGCAATCCAATCCAGCAGGCAGCCCAATTCACATGCACACCTGAGCATATCACCCGCAGGATTAAGATTTTGGAAGCATTAAATAAGCTTGCTTATGTGAGTAATCTTGGTAGATTTGAGTTGTTAATATGCAGAGTAAGCTCACAGGCCAAGGGCAGTCTAAAACAAAAAGCCGCTGGTTGATTGTCTGCAATGCAGCATTATCCAAACTTCCATCTTCCAGTTTACACTTGTAAACAGAGGTACACAATTCTTATAGTGTGCTTCAATGGTGTGCCTTCAGGGATGGGCGCTATGCATCAAGGCAGCCATTTTTAGTGGTGACACCCATCTCCTGCATTGGGAGCAAATAGTTTGTTTGTCCAATCACTTTATTCACTTGCATCACATTCTGCAAACTCCATATTTTTCCACCTCAGTGTTGTACGTTAGATTTATTATTGAGAAAGTTCAATTCTAAATCTATTCTGTAGGATTACTGATATCTTTCTGTAACTTATTGGAGTCCTCCTCAGTACTGACCATTCACCCAATCCAGACTTATCTATAAATTTGGAGTCTAGTGGATCTACAAGCTATCTGTTTCTAAATACTAATGCTTTTTTTCACTAATGCTTCTCTCCCCAGCTGAACCATCACCAGAGTGGAAAGGCGACTCTCCTCGAGAGGTGACAGTGCAGGAAGGCTCCTGTGCACAGATTCCATGTCGTTACAATTATCCATCATGTCTGGACAATCAACCACGAGGTGGAGTTTGGTTGAAATTTGAGAACGAGAAGCTCTTGTCCGGCATAGCCTTTCACTCCAAGGGTCACAATCATGAATCACAAAGGTTCCGCTATCGGACCCGGCTGTCTGGAAACCTGAAAGATGGCGACTGCTCCCTGATTATAAACAACATCAGACGGGAAGATGCAGGGCGTTATTTTTTTAAAATAGAATTTGACAACGGACCTAGTCATAACTATTACCCTGTAACCTGGCTTCGTGTTTCTGGTGAGTATTGGGTTGTAATTACTCAGCAATTCACTTTCACCAGTCAATGGGAAGTAACACAAACTGTGATGTTTACATATTAACACAATGTACAGCTTCTGATAACACAGTGTCTGATTGGGTTGGTACCAGGTGGTCAGGCTCTGGACTTTGTTATAATCCTGTCTGACTGCACCACATGACAAATCAGATCCCACAATGAAACCCAGCTTGGTGGTCATAAGTTTAAATCTTTGAAGTTGGTTAACGTGTTGGTTAGTCACTAAAGCATAGTCACACGAGGCTTCAGTTGTTCTTCAAATAAAAAAGACAAATTTATCAAAGGCTATATTACAGTTACAAAACAATGTGTCAACCTGTTTCCCAACATACTCTGTTACAGTGACTCAAATCCAGAGAAGTTATACTCCTATCTCAACTCTTTGATTTACTGTCACCGTCCAGTTCCTTTTATTCAAACTATGAAGATAAGTTTACAAATCCTTTCTGAGTTCAGTGGCATGAACCTTTCGCAATTCTAATGGGCTAAACACTTTTTAATTTCACACAACCTAAAGATTTCCATCTCAAATCTCCTGGCTTGAAAACTTCATAAACTAATAACAAGGCTACTATGGTGATGGGTTATCACTAAACTGAACTGAAAATAAAACAAAAATCGCTGATAAGACTAAAAATAACTTCTGCTAAGAATAAGTCTGTTCCCTTTTGAACAGAACTCTTGTTACCTTCTAAACTGAAGTCATAACAAAACTAATTGCTTTGCTGAGTTTACACAGCATGTCATGATCTCAAATTGACAAATATCTTATTCCATTAACGTTGCAGGGATCAGCCAGACATTTAACTGCCATCTGCTTGGAACTGGGGGATTTAGGTGTGACAATGCTGTGGTTTTAAGAGGTTATTTTGACCTGGATTTTTTTTAAGGACAGGTTTTAAGAGGTAGCGAGCTGTCTAGTTGGAATACCAGTAAAGTGAACAGCTTGTGCAGCCTTAATTTTTTTTAATGTGGAACAACAGAAGCAGCCTGAACGGGTGTGTCCAGCTCTCTCAGACCAGGGTTTCCAGATCTTTTTAGTTTTAAGGTTTAGCTGTGAGCAGTTCTTGTTGGAGTTTCAACAGGCAGATGTTGCTGGAGTTTTGAATAAGTAGAAACTATCTTTTCCCTCTCTCGGTTACAGCTAGAAGTTGGGGTTTCTCTCTGCTGCTGAGTTATCTATGAGAGAAATCTATTTTTCTGAGTTTGCCTTTTTGCTAAGGGTTGGGTTTATGGGATGGTACTATATTTGAACAGTTAATTAGTAGTAGTTAGTATCTATTATTCTGTTAAGTTTTCCAATAGAGCTGTTACTCTGAGTTCTTCTTTCTTTTATTGCATTTTAGCTATAGTGTTTAAATAAATTATGTTTTGCTTAATGTCAAGTAGTTTGACCAAACGAATTGCATCTGGATCACAACAGGTTACATTTACCTTTAAAATGAGAAAAAAGTTAGCGTCTAGGCTACCTTCTTAAAATATTTTGAGAGGATCTGGTCTTATGGTCCATTATTAGGTTACTGCTGCAGAATGACTTTCTGATCTTTTTAACATAAACTGTCATGGAGCTAACCCATGTCTATTTTCCGCTTTTTTGACATCTAGATCCATCTTAATCATTATATAATTTTTATCACAGTTATTAGTCCAGTGACATTACCACAGCAGTGCCACCTCCTAATGAACTAAGCTCCCAATGTATTTACTTTGTCCATCAATGTTAGCGCCTTCCATTTATCTCTGTATTTAGATGTTGAACATGGAGATAAGTATTACTACAATGTGTCATCGGAAATCTTTAGACAGAGGGTGATCGGCTGGACATATATTAATACCTGGAACTATTTGAAAGCAGAGGTGACTAGCTATGGCAGTACAGAATGTTACATTCGCAAAGGGCACAAGCTGCTCAGCCGAGTCAGTGAGTCTGCAACACTTTCAGAGAGAGATCACATGACATAGTTTTTGGGGGTAAAATAGGCTTTGAATACAGAAGATCCCACAGGGAAATAGCCTTTGTGTGCGCTCTCTTTTCTGAAAGTCCTTTCATCATAGTTTGTGATGTGAAAGAACACTGGAAAGCCTCATCAGCACAAGTGGATGGCTCTTAAATGAGAAATCGGAAATGGAAGGGATCACATATTTTTACATTATGAATTAGAAAGTGAAATGGAAGTTAGACTGTGCTACACAGCTGAGATACCAGGAATGGACAAACCAAGTGGCACTCATTTTCAGCTGTGCAAGTTGCTTTTTGGACCAGTGTCAGCAATACTTTGAGTTAAGGAAAGACTTCCTGACAATAGACCTCAGATGGGCTGAGCTGCCGTTTGCTGCAAATCTATAAGTGCAGGGTAGCTAGAGACATCCAGACCCTGCGAGTTATAAACAGAACTCTCTCCCCTCCTCTCTCCTGACTGAAAAGACAAGAAAACAAGAAAGCTTAAAAGAAACATTCTAACAAGAAAAAGCCTAAGTCTGTTGAATCAATTATCGAACTGAAAAATGACCGTCATTTTACAGACAATAGCATATCATCATTCTCAATCAAAAAGGACTGTGAGAGACAATTTAACCCAGGTTTGTGATCTGGTCTTTTGATTTTCAGAATTTTCTTCCCTGTCAATGATTTTGTTTTCTACCCAAAATATCTGTCAAACCATCTGTCTTTTGTTTGTCTTAATCATGAAAAGGTGTGTGTCTGTTGTGGTTTTGTAGGTACATAGTTTAAGTTAAAAAGTAGTAGATTTCCCCCTGTCTTGTTTAAGGTAGAGTATGTCACAAATAAATGGAGATATTTTCTGTTAATGACAAAACCTGGTGTGAATTGTGTCTGTCCTTAACAGCAGTCGGTCAGGCAAATTGGTACTGTAGGTGGGAATTTATATATTTTGCGATGCCTTGTAGAATGGTGGAACATGAATATTGGTGCACTCTTCCCACTTAAGTTATGACAGAAACTACACCATTGTTTCTAGAAAAAGAGTCACCAACCAGCCATAACTGATCTACAAATACACCTCAGCGCAAACAGGTTGTGTGGAAAGCAGCATTGGCTGCAGATCAACACTTTGGGCAATCTATGACTTATGTACATTTTTAAATGTAGCTGTTACTTGACCAAGCTATTACTAAGAAAAAACTTTGCAGAGAGCCTGTGTGTATACTTGTGTGCACGTGTATGTGTTTTCATTATAATTGAGGAGCGGAATTGGAAATATTTACACATTTTAAGCCTTTTGTTAATATCATTTTGATCTTTGGTTTAGTAAGATTCTTTGCAATAACTTGGTTATTTTAAGGAACCTGGAGGGTTTGTTTTTGATCCTAACCTTTATGCAGATTGATTATACATATAATATGTTCTAGTGAATTAAGTGCAAATCATGTGGCCAGAAGAGGAGTGCAACAAGGAAATGAATCAGTTCATCCCTCCTAACTGGATTATAATGCAAAAGAAAGGCTCGCATTTCAATAGCGCCTTTCACCAGCTCAGGATGCCCTACATTGACTCACAGGCAATGAAATAATAATTTAACTGTAGTGGTACTGCAATAATACTACAATCCGAGAAAAGCAAGCTGCCATACACAGGAATGAAATAAATCAGCCAGTCTATCAGACGATGAGAAGCCAGTGAACAGGACACTGTGATCAGCTCCTGCGTCTTCATCCAGGGTCAGCAATCACAGTGTCTTGGAATGAAAGTGTATTAAGCTGAGGGAAAGATCACTGTCTAAAAAGATGAAATTATTTTGAGATTATTGTAACCTCATGGTGATGTAATCATTATAAACCTGCTTTCTTTTGTGGGACTGTGACTTCTGTTTGAGCTGATGCTTCATGTTATATTTATCTAAAAGGATCCTCTCCCGGTCTGTTAGATTTCACAGACAAACCAATGATATTCCCTGTGGAAATTATCGCAGGAAAGCATGTGAGCCTAAGGTGCACCTTCAACACAACGTGCAATGGAATGCCACCTGTCTTAACCTGGGACACTCCCACTGCCGTACGTGGAACAGTTTCAAACGCTATTACTCAGCATGGTATCACTCTGACCTACACTTCTGTTCTGAGCCTGACACCATGGCCGAGACACCATGGACAAACTCTCACCTGCAGAGTAGGTTATCCACATGCGTCATCAGAGCAGACCCTTGTACTAAAAGTGCAATGTAAGTACCAATTCAGCATTCCCTCAGCACTGACCCTCTGACAGTGTGGCACTCTCTCAGCACTAACCCTCCGACAATGCGGCACTCCCTCAGCACTGACCCTCTGACAGTGCGGCGCTCCTTCAGCATTGACCTTCCGACAGTGCGGCGCTCCCTCAGCACTGACCCTCTGACAGTGCGGCATTCCCTCAGTACTGACCCTCCCACAGTGCGGCGCTCCCTCAGCACTGACCCTCCCACAGCGCAGCGCTCCCTCAGCACTGACCCTCCGTCAGTGCGGCGCTCCCTCAGCACTGACCCTCCGACAGTGCGGCGCTCACTCAGCACTGACCCTCCAACAGTACGACACCCCATCAGCACTGACCCTCTGACAGTGCTATCTGCCTTCTGTACTGATTCTCTGAGCATTTTGCACTCCCTTAGAATTGATGACTTTTGAGACCACCCCTATGAATTTGCTGCAACCTCTCGTTTTGGACTGTCGTGTCTGCCTGGATAACATACTTGGTGCCAAATTAACCCAGATTGATTTTATACCTTTTACAATCTTTGGGTCTGGCATAGACTCTTGCTTAGCTATGTGATTGCTCACAATATTCTCTTCCTTTGCTTTTAGACACACCAGAGAATCTTGCAATTACTTCCCTTGATGGGTCAAAAGTTTCATCAATCAATATAATTGAGGGAGAGTCTGCAGTGATAATCTGCTCTGTCGAGAGCTTCCCAGCTTCTAATCTGATGTGGAGACACCTTAATGTCACAATCAACAGAACAAGTTCCAACAATGAACTGTGGTTGGTGATTTCTCACTTTACATCCAAGGACACTGGAGTCTATCAGTGTGTGGCAGAGAATGAGCATGGAGCAGTGATGGGCTCCATAACCATCACTGTGCAACGTGCGTATATACAGACTTCAATTTCTCTGACATGGTTTGAGGGACAAGCAAAAACACACAAACACATCAATGAAATACACAGGAAGAAGAACACATGAAAGATCATATATAATCGTGCATGCACAAACTTACTCTCCGTGATCAATCTCGTCCAATATTTACGTTACTTTTATTATTTTGCAGCATAGAGATCATGGATATGGGTCAGTCCTCATAAGGGCTTCTTTGTATATGTCACCAGAATATCAATTTGGAATAGTAGTGTCACAGTATCAATTCCCAGAAATTATATCCCTCCAAACATTTCTTATTCATGTACTTATCCAAATGTATTTCGAAGTTGTAACTGTAACCCCATCTACCACTTCCTCTGGAAATTCTTTCCACATACGAACGACTCTGTGTAAAAAATTGTCCCCATGTCTTTTTTAAATCTTAAAAATATGCCCCATAGCCTTGAAATTCTCCACCCTAAGAAAAAGACACCTACTATTCACCTTGTCTACACACCTTCATAAGCCTCTGCAAGTGGGTGTCTGGGACAACCCCTGTTGTGTTAATGGATGAAATAGTTGTACTGTTGAGTTTATAACAGGCAAGATAAATGTATTATGGCTCTGTGTTTACTTCTGACTTAAGAACAGAAATTCAAAGTGTCAGTTGACACACACCAGAGTTGAATTCAGAAGGTTGAACAGCTTCTCCTGGCAGCAGATTCAGTGCAATTCGACAGGAACTATCAGCTCAGCGTGAGGGATTTATAGTCTGTGAAGCTTCTTATCCAGGAGAGTTTGAGTGGAAATCATCAAATGTTTAGAATTGAGCAGGTTCAGGCCTTTGTAACTTTGAGAGGTTTACTGCCAGCAGACATGGGAAGGAATCATAAAATAAATGCCACACTTCAAGGTAAACAAAGTCAATAAACTAATGATTTAAAGAGCAGAAATGAGAATGATATGTCTCTAGAATTGAGTCTATAGAGATGGTGTGGTGAAAGAGGTTGAAACTTCGTTTTGATGATTATGTTAAGAGCTTTCTCACTATTTTCTATATAAATGTAGCTTTCTTTGACAGTAGAGAGCTTGCGTATTTGTGGAAAGTCACATTTTGTCAAAGCTTTTCACCTTGCACTCATCAGGACAGTTTACGAGAATACAAATTCAAGGAGAAAACCAACCTTTATTGTGCATGAGAGGAGAGTGCCAATTGGTTGACAGATGGGCTCTTACTGGTAGTGGTGTTGCCATGGAAAACTCATCCATTCATAGAGTCACACAGCATGGAAACAGACCCTTCGGTCTAACCAGTATATGCCGACCATAATCCCAAACTAAACTAGTCCCACCTAGCTGAATCTTCCCATGCTGGAGAGGGTTCAGAAGAGATTTACCAGGATGTTGTTGCAAAAGGAGGGTTTGAATTAGATGGAGAAGCTGGATGGGCTGGTACTTTTTTCACTGGTGCATAGGATGTTGAGAGGTGACCTTATAGAGGCTTATGAAGGTGTGTGACAAGGTGAATAGTAGGTGTCTTTTTCTTAGGGTGGAGAATTTCAAGGCTATGGGGCATATTTTTAAGATTTAAAAAAGACATGGGGACAATTTTTTACACAGAGTCGTTCGTATGTGGAAAGAATTTCCAGAGGAAGTGGTAGATGGGGTTACAGTTACAACAGTTGAAAGACATTTGGATAAGTACATGAATAAGAAATGTATGGAGGGATATAATTATGTGTATCTAATTATAATATATATCTGCTATAATTGACAATTTCATCCATTATACCCTGTTTGTCACTCACTTTATCCATTACCCTTTATAATTTGCATTTGTCTTCCTTATAACTTACTTTCCTACTTATCTTTGTGTCAACAGCAAATTTAGTTGACATACCTTCGATTCCTTCATCCAAATTGTTTATAGAAATTGTAAAGAATTGAGGCCCTAGCACCTGTCCCTGTGGCACACCACTCATGATAATGTGCCAACCTGAAAAAGACCCATTCATTCCCACAAAAGAACAAATTGCTGGCAAATCTCAGTAGGCCTGGCAGCATCTGTGGAGAGAAAGCAGAGTTAACATTTCAGGTCTCGTAACCCTTCTTCGGAACTCCTTTGTCAGTGTGATATTGCAGTAAGATGTTGACTGTCCAGGATAGCCGTTATCCTGCAGGCTGGCTTAGATGCATCCTTTTTTCAGCCTCAAGCTTCCACAATGAGCAAATGGATTGGGCCCTATTTACAAGAATAGGGCCTGATCCATTACAAGAATTTTCATGAAAGAGAGATGACTCATGGTGAGTTTAACCTGAGGGTCAGCACACCTCAGGGAAGAGGAGACATTCAGAAGATTGGACTCTCATAATAAACTCAGTTGTTGTGGGAATTGAACCTGTGCTGTTGGTTCACTGTGCAGCACAAACCAGGCACCCAGCCAACTGAGCTAACCAATCCACAGCATCATCTGCGGTTCCTATGAAAGTCTGGCCTCTTCAAACATCTCCCCCCTCGCCTGAGGCCTGGTAACTCTCAAGTTAAACTCACCACCAACTGTTTCGCTCTATTGAGGCATCAATCCTATGATCCTTTGGGACAAAGGTGACTTACACACACACACACACTCTCACACACGCACACACAAACACACACACAAGCACGCGCACACACGCACACACTCTCACACTCACAGACACACACACTCTCACTCACACACACATTGTCTCTCTCACACACACACACTCACTCACTCACTCACTCACACACACACACACACACATACACACACTCTCTCTCTCTCTCTCAAACACACACACACACACACTCTCACACACTACTACAAATGTGACATTGCACCTTAGATTGAGGTGAAGGTGACAAGAGATCCGTACACATAGCAGATTCAGAGAGAGATGAAGAATGGAGTCTTGTTGTGCTGTGTGACTGCTCACAATATTCTCTTCCTTTGTTCTTAGACGCACCAGAGAATCTTGCAATTACTTCTCTTGATGGGTTTAAAGATTCATCAATCAATATAATTGAGGGAGAGTCTGCAGTGATAATCTGCTCTGTCGAGAGCTTCCCAGCTTCTAACCTAACATGGAGACATTTTAATGTCACAATCAACAGAATAAGTTCCAACAACGAACTGTGGTTGGAGATTCCTCATGTTACGTACAGGGAGACTGGAGACTATCAGTGTGTGGCAGAGAATGAACATGGAGCAGTGGAGAGGTCCATAACCATCACTGTGCAATGTGAGGCTACTGTTACATTTGTTCCTTCTAACAATATCTTTAGGGGGGCTGTTACCATTGTCTTGTTTCTTCTCTCGATTTCTTCAAGCCTCCCTCATTCCATGGCTCCAGTGTTACCCACCGTCTGATTTTTCTTCATCCTTTTCTACTTTCACCCCCAATTTGTCCAACAATTGTTGCTGAGACAAAGGTGGTTCTTCATCTCCATGTCCGTACTTATCTGTCTGTCTCACCCTAACTGGACGTAATGCTCCCTTTTGACTCCTGACCTTCAAATCTTTCTCTAAGGCACTCACTTGTCTTGTTCTCCGTTGAGGTGAATCTTGGCACCCTCGGCCATACCCACATTTCAAAAGCTGTCACCCTCCTCTCATCGACTTTCTTTAGAATCTGACTCTCACATCCATCAGATATGACCCTCCACATTAGTGACCGCACCTGACATTTTCTCAGCTTCAGGCTGATGTTTTCAGATGCTGAGAGTGAAGTCACTGGTCACAGCGCCTGCTGTTGTTTTTCTAGTCCTGATGTAACTTTTGATGTTGAACGTTGTGTCAAGTATTGGAATTTGACCACTCTCCCGACCTTGATATCTCCATTGCCATTTAGAGCCATTATGTTGGCTGTTGCCTCATTCATATTCAGTCCAAATGTCTCCTTGTGTCTTTTGTCTGGGTCCACCATACTCTCCAGTTCCTCCTTTGTTCCATTTCTGTCTGAGGTATTGTCTGCACACCAGATATTCCACAGCCACATCTTTACAAACAAATTAATATCCCCAAGAGACTGTTACATTTACAGTGCTTGTGACAGGCATGTGAATATGTGTAAACACAGATACAAATACTTCAATACAATTTGCTTCTTCAAGACACTCCTTATATTAACCCTCAGTGGCCGAAGATACCCTTGTCTGTAGGAGATGAAAAACAAGACAACAAGATGTAGGAGCAGAAGAAGTTTATTCAGCCCATGGAGTCTGCTTCACTATTCAATGAGATCATGGCTGATCTGAAAATGCTCCACTCCACTTTCCTGCCTTTTCCTCCATAACCCCCAATTCCCTTACTAATTAAAATGCTGTCTATCTCAGCCTTGCATACATGTAATGACCCAGCCTCAACAGCCTTTTGTGGTAAAGAATTACACAGATTCACTACCCAAAAGAAAAAAAAAATCCTGCTCTTATCTGTCCTAACTGGGTAACTCTGTACTCTAAAATTATGCCCCTCTGGTCCTAGATGCTCCCACAAAGGGAAATAAACTTTCCACATCTATCCTGTCAAGCCCCTCAAGTATCCTACATGTTTCATTAAGGTTGCCTCTCATTCTTTGAAACTCCAATGTGTACATGCCCAACCCACTCAGCCTCTCCTCATAAGGCAATCCCTCCATACCTGGGATCAGTTGAGTGAACCTTCTCTGGACTATTTTCAGTATACCTTTACTGCCATAAGGGGACCAAAACAAAGATAAGGCTCCCGAAACTGTTCACTATGTTCCAGCTGTGATCTGACTTGTGTTTTGTATAGTTTCAGCAAAACCCCGCTATTTTACTACTCATTCCCTTTGAAATAAGGGGCAATATTCCATTTTCCTTCCCTATTACCTGCAGAATTTGGATACTAGTTTATTTGGAGATGTATACCCCCGAGTACCTCCAAATCCCTCGGTGTTGTAGTTTTTTGCTTTTGTATGATATTTAGCTTCTCTATTCTTTCTGCCAAAGTGCACAATCTCACATCTTCTCACATTATGTTCCACCTGCCACATTTTTGCCCACTAGCTTAACCTGTCTGTATCCCTCTGCAGACTCTTTGTGCTTTCTTCACCACTTGCCTTCCCATCTATTCTGACATTGTTCCCAAATTTGGTTACAGTACATTCACCATCATTATGTATTTCATTAACATTTATTGTAAATAATTGTGCCCCCAACATTGATCCTTGTGATATTCCACTTGTTACAGATTGCCATGTGAAAATGCCCCTCTTCATCCTGACTCTCTGTTTTCTATTAGTTAGCCAGTCCTCCATCCATGCAAATTTATCATCTCCAAAACTATGGGCTCTTATCTGAATGAGTGCTACCTCATCACACACCTTCTGAAAATCCAAATGTATTACATCCACTGCTTTTCTTTCATCTATCCTACTTGTTACTTCCTCAATGCATTCTGAGATATTTGTTAGACATGATTCCCTCTTCCTTAGAGCATGGTCATTCTGCTTGATCGTTTTTTCTGTATTTCTAAATATTCTGCCGTTACAGCATTTTGAATAGACTTGAACATGTTCCTAATAATGATGTTCTCTAGCTAGCTCACAGTTATCTGGTATTGGTCTCCTTCCTTTTTACAATAAAGGTGTTACATTGGCGGTATTCCTATCCTCTGGAACTTTTCCAGAAAATGAGCAAGGGATTTCCAGAGCTTAGGGCTGCAGGTAGTTGAAGGTGGATCAATGGATATCAGGAAATACGCAGGAGGCCGGAACTGGAGAAGTGTAGACATCTCAGAGGGTTATGGGGCATGTGGATTCCTGTTGATTCCCCTCTGCTCTTGTTCCAGATCCCCCACGGGAGACCACAGTGTCCATCGGTGGAGCCTCAGGTGGGATCAGAGAGGGACACAATGTCACATTAACCTGCTCCAGTGAGAGTGTCCCACCGATATCTCATTACACCTGGTTCAGGATCAAGGGAAACACCAGCACCCAGATAAACACAAGCAGCCAGATTCTCTCCTTCACTCCCGTGACACGGGGAAATGATGCGGGTTTCTACTGCATAGTGACAAACCCACTGGGTAACAGCATCTCCAGCGCGACCCACCTGAATGTGGAATGTAAGTTTTTACTGTCTGTCTGCCTCTTCTTAACACTCAGGGGGTTGTCTGTCTGGGGACCACTTACTGACTGTACTTTAGATTAGAGTAACCTCACTGCTATAACCTTTCCCTCACTGAGATACAGAGAGTGATATCAGGATTGGCGACGAACAGCTCAAAGAGGGATGGTTTTAAGTGGTATCTTAAATGAGGACATAGGGACAGAGAGAATAGTGGAGAGGTTTAGAAGGGAAATAATTAGCCTAAGGGTCACGGCAGCTGAAGACATGACTGCCACTGACTGATGGATGGAAATCAGAGGTTGCTTGAGAAGCCGAAATTGAAGGACCAAAGGGATCTCAGAGGGTGAGGGGAACTGGAGGATATTACAGAGACAGGGAGGGGATGTAGAGGCTGGAGGAGATGACAGATAGGGAGGGGTGTAGGGGCTGGAGGTGTTACAGACATAGGGAGGGGGTGTAGGGGCTGGAGGAGGTTACAGAGATAGGGAGGGGGTGTAGGGACTGGAGGTGTTACAGAGATAGGGAGGGGGTGTAGGGGGCTGGAGGTGTTACAGAGATAGTGAGGGGTGTGTTCAGTTGAGGGAAGGGGGTAATGGTTGAACAAGACTGGAGTAGCTAGATGACTGACAGGCCAGGAGAGCATTGTGATGCTCAAGAATAGCAGGAACTATGGCCATTGGCGAGTGTTTCAGTGTTACGGTTCTATCTTACGGTCCAACTCTGCTACTTTTGACTAATTGCTGCCCTTCCCACCTCAGATGAGCCAGAAATTTCCCGGGAGTCGAAATGTGCTCAGAGGACAGAGGGGATCACCTGCGTCTGTGTGGTCAATTCCAACCCTCCTGGAGACGTCACCTGGCACCTGCCCCATGCCAACCTCAGCGGTAACCAAACACAGGGAGGTTTTGTGTCGCGGCAGCTCAGAGAGGGGCATCTTGTGACAGGCTCCCTGATCCTGACAGGACTCCAGGATGAAGAGGAAGTGACGGTATCCTGCTCAGTTCGAAACCCACATGGGACAGCCATGTTCAAGGCCTATCAGGTCAAAGGTAGGATCAATCTGGGGAGGCGATGGCCTAGTGGTATTATAGCTGGACTGTTAATCCAGAGACCCAGATAACATTCTGGGGCCTGGGTTCAAATCCCACCATGGCAGATGGTGGAATTTGAATTCAATAAATGTCTGGAATTAAGAATCTAATGATGACCATGAATCGATTGTCGGAAAAACCCATCTGGTTCACTGATGCCCTTTAGGGAAGGAAACTGCCATCCTTACCTGGCCTGGCCTACATGTGACTCCAGACCCACAGCAATGTGGTTGACTCTCAACTGCCCTCTGGGCAATTAGGGATGGGCAATAAATGCTGGCCAAGCCAGTGATGCCCTCATCCTGTAAATGAATAAAGAAAACAAAAATCTCTGTTTGACACCCTCAACTCTAGAATCCTCTACCTCTTTTTATATGCTCTTTCCCACTGGCCTCTTTGACCAACACATCCTCATGATAAAGACAGCACTGGATACAATTCGAGTCAAGCCATTGAGGGGAAAATGTCAAGAAGCACTTTCTTCACACAAATGGGGGTTGGAAATCTGGAACTCTGACCAACATATCCCCCGTCCCCAAAATAAAACTTTCATTGCGAATAAATATAGATGAGTCAAATGTAACTACTGTCAATAATTTAGAAGTGTAATGGGTGATTTGATTGAAGTTTTGATGATATTGAGGTGACCAGACATGGACGGATCAAGAGAAACTGTTCCCGTTGACATGGTGTCCAGGACTCAGGGACAGAGTCTAAACATTGGAGGAGGCCTTTAAGCAGTGAAATGTGGAAGCACTTCTGCACACACACTATGGTCAAAGTTTGGAACTTTCTTCCAAAATTGGCGATTGGTCCGTTGTTAATTACCTCAGCCACTGAAGATTAGTGGAGGTAATGATATATCTAGACTCGAAACGTTAGTTTGCTCTCTCTCAGTGGATGCTGCCTGATCTGCTATGATTTCCAGTATTTTTTGTTTTCAGTATTGATTTCTCTTGATTGTTAGCCTGTGAGTTTGTAAACTAAATTTCTCAAATGCGAATGGAGGAATGTTCATCAAAATCTGACACACGAGCTAATCGTTTCCTTAGGTTTATAAATTGACGCATAGAGTATAAGAGTAAGGAAGTGATACTACACTTCTACAAATCATTGGAGTATTGTGTTCATTTATGGGCACTTTAAGGAAGGATGTTCAAGCCCTGGAGAAAGTTCAAAGGAGATTTACCAAAATGATACCAGGAATGAGGGATTTTTGATACAAGGAAAGATCAGAGAAATTGAGCTCATTCTCCTTGGACAGAAAGAATTTAAGAGGTGACCTTACTGGGGTGTTCAAAATTATGAACAACTTTGACAGGGTAAAGGAGGATAAACTGTTTCCGCCAGATGATATGAGTCGCAATTTTAAGATTATCAGCAAGAGAGGTACAGGTGAGAAGAGGAGAAATTTCTTGATTCAGAGAGCTGTTAGGATTTGGAATGTTCGGCTGGGGAGAGTGGTGGAGGCAGATTCCATAGGACCTTTCAGAAGAGAGCTGTAAGACAACAAGGAGAAGGGGAGCAGTCAACACAGGACTGAAGGAGTTGTACATAAATGCAGATGATATATGAAACAAGCCAAATGAACCTTTGGTACAGATTGAAATTGGCAGGTACAATCATGTGGGTATGAAATGAATCAGGTTTTGGAACTAATGAGACACGTCTTATTGAAAGGACAAGGCAGATGGACAGAGAAGGTGGGTTGTCTAGTTGGTAAGGAATGAAATTAAATCTAAAGCAATAAATGATATGGGGTTGGAAAGCATGGAATCTGCGTTGAATTGAGCTTAAAGTTGAGAAACTGCCAATGAAATGAGACCCCGATGGGAGTTGTGTACAGGCCAGACTTCCTACCAGAAACCAGGATGTGGGAAAGAAAATAAATCAGGAGATAGATAAGGCATGTAAGAAAGGCACTACTACAATAATCATGGAGGACTTCAATACGCAGTTGGACTGGGAAAATCAGGTTGGCCGTGGATCTCAAGAAATGGAGTTTGTGGAATGTCTATGAGATGGTATTTTTGGAGAAAACAGGCACTCCTGGATTTGGGTGTAATGAGGCAGACTAGATAACGGAGCTGTAGGTGAAGGAACCCCTAGGGGGCAGTCACCATGATATGACAGAATTCACACTGCAGTTTGTGACGGAGAAGACTGAATCACGTGTAATGGTATTACAACTGAGTAAAGGTAGCTACAAAGACCTGAGGGAGGAGCTGGCCAGTGTTGATTGGAAGTGGAGCCTAGCAGGGAAGATGGTGGAGCAGCAATGGTATGAGTTTCTGAGGTTGATTCGGGAGGCCCAGCAGAAATTCATTCCAAGGAAGAAGAAACATATTGAAGGGAGGACAAAGCAACCATGGCTAACAGGGAATGTCACGGATAACAGAACTGCACAAGAAGAATCATACAATATGGTGAAGATTAGTGGGGAACTGGAGGATTAGGAAGCCTTTAAAAACCAGCAGAGGACTACTAAAAAAGCAATAAGGTGGGAGAAAGTGAGATATGATGGTAAACTACCTAGTAATATTTAGAGATATAAAAATTAAGAGAGAGCCAAGAGTGGACATTGGACCACTGGAAAATGAGGCTGGAGAAATAGTGATAGGGAACAACGAAATGGCAATGGAACTGAATAGGTACTTTGCATCAGTTTTCCCAGTGAAAGACACCAACAGCATACCAGGACTTTGAGAGATTCAGGGGGAAGAGGTGAGTGTAGTGGCCATCATTAAGGAGGAGGTGCTGGGGAAGCTGAAAGGTCTGAAGGTGGATAAATCACCTGGACCAGATGGTCTGTACCCCAATGTTCAGAAGGAGATAGTTGAGGAGATTGTGGAGGGATTGATGGTGAGCTTTCAGGAATCATTGGAGTCAGGGAGGGTCCCAGGGGACTGGAAAGTGGCCCATGTAACCCCACCTGCCTGTTTAAGAAACAAGGAAGACAGAAGGCCAGCTAGCCTGATCTTGGTCATTGGTAAGATTTTAGACTCCATTACTAAGGATGTGATGCAGAGTATAGGACTTAATCAGCACGGCTTCGTCAAGGGGAGGCCGTGTCTGAGAAATCTGTTGGAATTCTTTGAGGAGGGAATGAGCAAGTTAGAGAAAAGGAGAGCCAATGCAAGTGATCTATTTGGATTTCCAGAAGGCCTTTGACAAGGTGCCGCACAGGAGGCTGCTAAATAGGATAAAAGCCCATGGTGTTAGGGACATGGTACTGGCATGGATAGAGGATTGACTGGCTCGCAGAAGGCAGAGGGTGGCGATAAATGGGTCTTTATCAGGACAGCTGCTGGTAACTAGTGGAGTACAGCAGGGGTCAGTGTTGGGACCACAACTATTCATGCCATGTATTAGTGATCTGGATGAAGGAACTGAGTGCGCTGTTGCTACGTTTGTAGATGACACAGAGATAGGTGGAGGGACAGGCAGGGTTGAGGAAGTGGGGAGGCTGTGGAAGGATTTGGACAGGCCAGGAGAGTGGACAAAGAAGTGGCAGGTGGAATACAATGTGGGAAAGTGTGAGGTTATGCACATTGTTAGGAAAAACAGAGGTGTGGACTATTTCCTAAATGGGGAATCGCTTTAGAAATCTGAAGCACAAATGGACTTAGGAGTCTTTGTTCAGGAATTTCTAAGATTAACATGTAGGTTCAGTTGGCAGTTAAGGAGGTAAATGCAACGTTAGCATCCATTTTAAGAGGGTTAGAAGAGCAGAGATGTACTGCTGACGCTGTATAGGATTTGGTCACACCATATCGAACATAGAACATATTTGGAATATTATGAACAGTTGTGGGCCATGTATCTAAGGAAGAATGTGCTGCTGTTGGGGGGGGATGATGCAGGGGATGACGAGTTTATCATATGAGGAATGGATACTGGGTCTGTACTCGATGGAGTTTAGAGGGATGAGGAGGGATCTGATTGAAACTTACAGAATACTGAGAGGCCTGGATAGAGTGGAAGTCGAGAAGATGTTTCCACCAGTGGGACAGACTGGGACCCGACAGCAAGCCTCAAGAGTGAAGGAATGACCCTTCAGAATGGAAATGAGGAGGAATTTCTTCATCCAGATGGTGGTTAATCTGTGGAACTCATCGCCGCAGAGGGCTGTGGAGACCAAGTCATTGAGTGTATTTAAAGACAGAGATAGATAGGTTATTGATTAGTAAGGGGATCAAGGGTTACGAAGAGAAGGCTGGGCAATAACGTTGAGAAACACATCAGCCATGATCGAATGGTGGAGCAGGCTCATCGGGCTGAATGGCCGAATTTTGCTCCTATATCTTATGATCTGATGATCTACCAGTCAAGCCCTGTATGTTTCAATAAGGTTGCTTCTCATTCTTTGAAACCCCAGTGAGTACAGGCCCAACTTACTCGGCTTTTCCTCATAAGACAATCCCTCCATACCTGGTATCAGCCGAGAGAACCTTCTCTGGACTGCCTCCAGTTCTGGTCTGCCTTTCCTCAGATAAGAGGCCCAAAGCAGTACATTGTATTCCAGCTGGGATCTGCCAAGTGCCTTCCATAGTTTTGGTAAAACCTCCCAACTCATACACTCCATTCTTTTGAAATAAAGGCCAGCATTCCATTTACCTTCCCCTATTACCCGGTGAACTTGGATGTGAGCTGAAACAAGGCTGCCAATTTGTGCACAGCAAGATCCCAGAAACTGCAATGTGATAATGAGCTGACAACCAATTGCTTTAGTGAGCTTGTTTGTTGCACAGACAAAGATGGCAAGGTGGGTCACTAATGTCCCATTCGTGAAGGAAATCTGCTGTTTTATTCCAGTCTATGTGTACGGGTGACTCCAGTCTCAAACTCCAGTGTGGTTACCTCTTAGCGGTCCTCCGAACTCCTCTGTCAGTTTGTGTGTATTTTAGGGAAACACCACCGCACCACCTTCTCAAGGGGCAATAAATGTCAACATTGCTCGAGAATAACTGTTTAAACGTGGCGTGAATCGTTCCTCAGTATACAGCAGGCCATTGTTCCAAAATGATAGCACAGTAATTAATGGTTATTTTTACAGGTAGAGATTACAATAAATGGACATTGGGATTGATCGTGGCTGGAAGTGTGTTAATTGTTTTCCTGGCTGGAATCTTAATCTTTCTCTGTGCGCGAAAGTAAGTGTGAACGCTTCATTCGATTTCACTCTGAATATTCACTTCCACTTTCTTCCCTACAGCTGGTGACTGTTCCCTTGGGGTGAGGCAACGGACACTTCTGTTAGTGGTCTTCATATCCCTAAGATCCAGGGTGGGCCTTTCATTGTGTGTCCAGATGAATAACTACGAGTTGTTGTGATCTGGAACACGCTGCCTGATAGGGAGGTGGAAGCAGATTCAACAGGAACTTCCAAACTTGTAACTGTGTCTGTGCTGCACTGACTCTCTGATATATAATAACCACACTGAGATGTTGTGTTATTGCAGGAGAAAAACAGCAACTGAAGTGACAGCTTCAAAGACCAATGATGTTGTAGTGACCTACAGTCGAATCGCTGTGAAGCGCAAGGTACAGAAATTGTTGACTCATTCCAAACCATCTACTTCAGCATGTCCCTGACAAACAGTTAACCACTGATTCTCACCTCTGGAGACCGATCGTGCTGTCTCTCTGAATCAGGCTGAACATGACATCAGAGAATTGTACTGTCAGTGGGTCAGTGCTGAGGGAGCAGCACCGCACTGTCGGAGGGTCAGTGCTGAGGGAGTGCCGCACTGTCGGAGGGTCAGTACTGAGGGAGTGCCGCACTGTCGGAGGGTCAGTGCTGAGGGAGCAGCACCGCACTGTCGGAGGGTCAGTGCTGAGGGAGTGCCGCACTGTCGGAGGGTCAGTACTG